GAGCTTGTATGCGGAATCCCCATGTGCACGCCCGCACGAGACGACTTTACACGAGGTGAGACGACTTAACCCGACTACCTAGTAAGCATTTGTTGTTGCAACGATGCGCCGAGGATGTCAAGGTGACGCCTCCCTCTCCTACCCATCCCTGTCGCCCAGTCGGACCACGTGCTGGCCGTTAAATACATGATAACGGCATACTGTTGCAAAATAAGGTATAAGCGAACAGGATTCACTTGCTCAGACTAAGCTCCTGAAATGCCAACCCCGCAGTTGTTGCCTTTATTTCTGTCTCTATTTTGAAACATCTTTGATGTCCTTACAAGTCGGCGTTCAGGCAATATATGACGTGGTGGGAGCAGTGCTACCTTCCATCAGAAACGAAGCCCCGACTGAATCGGCCAAACACAACTCGAGGACAGACGCTGGCATGGTTAACTACTCCCACGCCGACAAGGGCTTGAGAGCCAGCAGGCAGCGTCTTGCCGGCATGAGGGATCTCTTCATATAATGTCCCGACACATTCTGCAAGAATCGGAACGTCCTTGTGCAAACAAGGTAGAACACGAAGTTGTTCACCTTGCTGAAAGTCTTCCCTGCATATTGTGCATTCCTTGGTGCATCGGAGCATGCATAGTATGCATGTCAATAGTTGCTGCACATGTAAGGAAGCGCTTACGCTCAACGAAGAGCAGCCTCCCCGCTGGTGATACCGCCTCTCAATGTCGATCAAAAGTTCTGCTAAAGAGATGGAGCCTGCAATGAGGATCCATGTTTTCTCGGGCACAAGGAACCGCAACCAAACCCCTGCACAAAGCCAGCAAGAATTATAGGTGCAAGGGTCTGTGTCACTAAGGTGACTTGAGGCGTCGAAAAAGATCGTCACCATCCTGGGGTATGGAGCAACGGCGGATAGTCTACATCTTTGCGACATCACGCATGCGACTTGCAGAAGTCTGCTCTGTGTGCTTTTGATTGTGCACAACGGCCTGTCTGCGACACTTGGCACCACGGGGAGCCGGCCCCTCCCTGCAGAAATCATGACGCACTTGCCACATCTGGTGTCGCAAACTGGCAGCTACTGTCTCTACTCATCTGGTGCTGAAGGTCGTGCCGTCTCGCATTCCGTACGGAGTGCGACCGAAATTGTTCCGCAAGCATGGGTTCGCTTTGAACTTCCTCAGCAGAGCTCACTTGCGCACATGCCCTTTTGAAAAACTGCAGAACAAAGCATGGCAAGAGCGAATGCAGATGCGGGCTGACTGTCGGGAGCGAGGATACTGAGCTGCCAAGCTTTCAAATGTTCACCTCCAAAGTTTCGCTGGGCATTCCAAACAACCTCCACCTGTGCCTTTTTTCTACATAAATAAAATGCCTTCACTCTAGCCCGGCCTGAAGACATCCGGATTGAGCAGCCAAGTGGGGTGTGGGGCAGCTGAGGGCACCGTTTTCTTGAAAATGGTTCAGCTAAATCGTCAAGGCTTGCTGCCTCCCATGTCCAACCCGCAAGATTCTCGACGCTTGCCAACTTGGATTTGCTCAGATACTGCAGTCATTCAGATTGCGGGCAGACACGGATGCATGCAAGTAGAGCGAACTAGACAGATTCTGGACAGACGCAGGCGGGCAAATGCAACTTTCTGTTCTTTCCGAAATCTCTGTAACAGGCCCAAGGCAGCGCTAAGTTAAGCTCGAGTGTAGCTGAGAAATGAAGGGGATATGTAAGAACGAAAAGAGTTCTCAACGAAATGCGTGATCCTGAAGCAGTATCAAACTTGACGTATGAGGAAACAAATTTGCTCGCTGGTTTCGCGTTAAGTGACATCCCGACATTTGCATCTCCAATGATGCCAGGTCAAACAAAATTCTGCATTCTGCTGATTTAAAGCCATCGGCCAAACATGCCTCTAGAATTGTGCATGTCCAAGCTTGGACAAGAAAGTTCTCGACACGTCTTCGGACAGCCACTTTCCTCTTACTACTTGATTGTCAGCCGCTACTGAAGCGTCACCGTCACCAAGGCAAATGCTTGCCCTGACAGAACCAGCAGTGGATAACTTGACAATGTCATGCGGCATTTTGAGAAACCCTTGAGATGCGTGCCTTGGCGGACCTGCAGGTTGCTATAGGTTGCTCGCGCCGCGCTTGGCCGTAGGTTGGATAGCTGCACAATGCTGCACAGGTCGGCGGCGTTATCAGATACTAAGGTGCTCACATGCGCATGGGTGAACAATTGTGCATCATTTGGCTTACCACATGTCAGGATGCTTGAAGGCGATTGAAGGCGCAAAGGCGTGGCCATGTACTCTGGGCAATCGCGAGAATCTCGCGTTATCTCTCGTGCAAAGTAATTCTGCAGTCCATGGATGAAATTCTGAAGCTCATGCAAGCACGTGTGGTGTCCTTGCCTCAACAATCAAGACACCATGAATGAAAGGCAACAGTTCAGAATGACAGCTTTCCAGCCAGCGATAGCCAGCAGTTGCTGTGTGCCCACAGTAGAAGGTTTCTGAGGCAGTTGGGCTTTCCGAAGATCTGCAAGGATCTGTGTTCGTGAATTTGGTCATGCGATCCTAATCAGACTAGAAGCTCTGAAGCGCGAAGGATGCAAAATCTTAACCTGCAGTCAAAGTCTCAGCAAAAGCTGCGCTGCTTCTGCCCGATCCAAATCCACCGCCAAATGCAACGGAGTGCTGCCTGAAGGTGCGTGAAGCTATGAAACCAAGCGGCCACCCCAGCATTTGGACAGCCCTGGCCTTGATCGTTGGTGACGTTTGGGTCTATTCCTCAGTGCCACTGAAGAAAAAGTGCTGAAAAGGACGAACACTTTGCAAGGAGCTTCGTGCTTCGTGCCGTGGCTCTGGTCTCGAGGAGAAGCATCAGGATCTCCACATAACCACGCAACGCGGCCAAGTGCAGCGCAGACCTGGACACCCAAAAGTGTGCTGGTGTAAGCATCTCAAATGGAACTCACAAGGATGCAAGCCTTCACATTAACATTTGTTTTTTCTGAGCGAGTGGCTGTGCAATGCGAGTGTCCTCGCCAGTCTCACTGAACTCACAGCTGCCAACAGCGGCAAAGACCGCTGTTTCTGATGTCCTTTCGAAATGGCATGGGGACAACCAACTGCGCCAGGATTGCAATTTCCGAACTCCAAAGTAGCTGAGCGAGTCTCTCACCCGGGAGTGGTGGCTGCCGGCGTTTGCAGCTTAGCCAACGCTTGACGCTGCTGACGTCTTCTTGCTTCACCAAGGTTTGCAGGCATACCTGGCTTGAAAGCTTTTCCTCTTCGGTCTCACATTGCCTGCAGGATTGGCACAACGCGCCTCTGCCAGAAACTCGTCGTCTGCCATTTTGCTGTACGACACTGTAGGTGACCACATGATTTTGCTTGACTTCTGGTCTCCACCCACCTGATTGACACGAGCTCGGCACAGAAGTGCGGCCTGGTGCAGCAGAACAATAAGCTCCACGCCATTATTCGCGTCCAGGATGATGTGACAGGGCATGCCACCTGCCGCTTCTGCATACAGAAGCGGCTGGCCAGAAGATCAGCGCTCCCGCACTCAGGCCTCGTCTGGCGACTCCCAAGATGACTTGGGCCTCCCAGGCGAACGAATGTCGCGGTCGACACGTTGTTCTTGCAGAAGTTCTGCTTTCAGGATCCCATTATCCTGTGACAGCTCTGGAGACTCTCTTCTGAATTTTCACCAGCCAGAGCGCTTGGACTGGTGGATTGCGCAGGGGTCAGCTTCTGCCAAGCCTCTACCTGGTGCGGCACAGCAGGTGGTTCAGCTGGTAAGTTGTCCAAGGGGACATTCTCCGCCTCCAGCATCCTGCAGCCAGTCTCAGGCAACCTGGACATGGAAACCCTGAGGTTCCAGTACTGTGTCCTCCTGATCAGTGCTTTGCCGTCTGCAATGCTCTGTTCGTCCCAGGAATTTGTTGCCGCCATGTCCTGCGGCATTGAGGAAGTACAATCCATCCCAGCTAAGGTTGCCCTTTCCTTGGCCGATCGCCCGAAGCAGTTTCTCATGTTGATGCAGGCACGTGCCTGGCACGGAGTGGCAAGATCCCCTATCCCGGAAGCGCATGTCTATCAAATTTTGCTAAGGCCTCGAGCAGGTGGTGAGTAGCCCGAGCACGGCCAAGATCCGTGGCTAAGTGCCTTACAGAATGCAAGGCAGCTAAACTGAAAGTTGTAGGCCTGTATGCATCATTGCGTTCGTGCTCCTGTGCAAAGGTCAGCGCAGGGGCGTATTGCCTTGCTCATCCAGGACGTCGACTGGAACCTCTGTGAACTTCAGGGCACGTGATCACATCAGTGTCGCACAGGCATTCATTCTGACCCAGCCTCCTCACTCAGGAACAAGGATATAATCTCAGCACGTCCACGGAGTGCTGCGCGATGGAATGCTGATTTTGCATTCCGGCCCTGAAAGGGTGATGGGCCAATTGGGCCGTATTGAGCAATGCGAAACAGGTTCCTGTGAATGTACAGGCGCAAATTGCAACTGAATGGAGCGCAGGGTGCTCGGCGTTGTGTTAAGGAGGCTCTTTGATTTCCCCCCTGTGTTGCATGCTGAAAATTTTGCTGGCAAAAGCCGCCGAAGCAAGTAACAAGGGAATCTTCAAATCTCGCTACAGTGTCACAATGCGATATGACACGTTAGATCACGCTGCTGCACTTGCACAAGTAACTCTTACTCCCAGCTTGACTCAAAGCTGCCTGAGTTGAGAGTCTGAAACCTCAGCCATGATAAGCCATACACACTTCTAGAGGGTCAGTTTCTGATTTGAGGCAATTCTGATGGCTTGCTTGCCCTGAATAGATGTGCTACTGGTGGTAGTAGCTCCGCGCCCTACAAAGCCTGTGAGTAGCAGGGCAGCAGATCAGCTGTCTCACTCCTGAGCAGGATAATCTAAAGCTACACATACAGGAATGTCTTCCTGCTGCAGTCAAGCAGGACACGCACTGGGAGACAAAATTTAGACTAGATTGCCAGTCATTGATTTTTTGTTCCACAAAGGTGCAGACGCGCGCGGCCTCATGCTCGCACGTGATGATCTCATTCACAACAGCAGCCTGACAAGCTTGAGCATGATTGAACTAGACTTGTGCGCAGTGATGGTTTCTACAACACAGTAGAAATCCTGCCTGGCCATGCGTTCTGCGAATCTGATCCAAATGCCGTTTGACTGCGTCAAGGTCACCATGGCCAACCAAGCTCACCAGAGATGTCTCCATGGCGCAGCGGCGGAACTCATAATTCCAAGAAGAAGGCTTGCGCCTGTTGCCCTCAGCCGTGAAAGTCACAACCAACCATCCAGTGGCTCCCGCGGCTGTTTCAGACTTGGCTGAAGCACAGTACATCCTGTCCATTTTCAACGCGTGCTGAGTAAGAAAGCATGGCAACTGCTTGTTCATATCTCTCTTGAGAAGACAGATCGGCAAAGCGACGGCGAAAACATCAGGAGGCAAGCTGAAAGTTGCTGAGCTGCGCTAGCCGTAAACATTCACAGGGACCATTCTCATCAAAGGCCAGAAAAAGATTCCAAATTCTGATGGTCCAAGCTTCTGGCTCTGTGACTATGCACAAATTTGGTGGCTGCAGGCACCTCGCCGCAAAGAAGCGAACCATCTCTACATAGCAAGAAGACAACCTTGCGTGCAAGGGTTTTGCATTGCTGGGACATGTGCGCTCCGATGAAACCCACAAGCCGTGGATGGTTCAGACCTTCAATTGCGCAGAACAACAGCAAACACCTGAATCGTACAAGAACAGCTGGGTCGGCTGCTCCGAAGTGCAGCTACCTCACAGTCAGGCAGCAGTGCCAGTCATTACCGCGTTCGGCGCATTTGCAGACCTCCTTTTCCAGTTCCTCCAACTGTAGAGGTGAAATGTTGCCTTTGGGCCACCAGACATCTTGGAAACAAAGCACACTGACCTTTGTCGCACCTCCATCCTCACAGAACAGCTTCTTGATAGCCACCTCTGTGCAAAGTGTAGCTGCTTGTCCGGCTGCATTGCCTCAAACCGCTTTTGGGCCTCACGAGTCCCCAGGAATCCTCGATAAACGGCCCCAAAGCCACCAGAACCGAGACAATCCTTCTGCGTCAACCTTGGCAGTTCTTAACTACACAACAGCCTCAACAGCTTCCAGTGTGGCAAAAGTGGAATGTTTGGAACAATAAGGCGCAATCGCGGCAAAGTCAATCATCTCATGCTTTGCCAGCAGGATCTTTCCTTAGATGCCAGCTGCAGCCCAAGGCACTTCAATGGCTTTGGCTGTTGGAAGCTTGTTCAGCATGACCCGGCCTTGGTCCAAAGGTAGATTGGTGGAGCTCGCCAATGTTTTTGGAGGATCGGCTTGCGCAGGTACGGATGTCCTCTGCTTCGGATTTTGACATGAAAGCTGCCAACAAGGCACGCGAAGTGATGTGCACACAACACAAAGGCTGGTCCATTGTCGTCTCTCGGGCAAGGCTGCATCCGCAGGAGGCAAGGCACTAGAGACCTCAAGGAGTGCAGCCAGACAGAAAGCTTTTCCGAGACAGTCCCGAGTGAAGCACCCACGCGCGGCGCTCCGGCCCCTGTGCTACTCGCATGCTGATCACACAGTCTTCAGACTTCTGCCCAACAGGACATGAAGATGCTTGAGGCTCGGACGGCTGATGGTGTGGCTTCGCCAAATACTTTCTTGGCCTGCGCCGCTGAGGTTGAGACATTCCCAACATGACTGTGACGCACGCGTCCTGATTCTCTGGAGAGGATGCGGTAGTGCTGAACCTCAAGCTAGACTTCACTGTACAGCAGCCTGAAGCCGATGAACTGCTGCGCACATGGCATGCGGTGAATCTCTTGGCAAAGGAATGTGCTCTCTGACGGGGCTTTGCCCTGCGGACTCGGGTGAGCTGCCCTTTCCTGAAACATCAGCTCCATCACTGCTCACGCACTGATGCCATGGTCACATGGTCCAGGTCCTGCTTGGGATGATGGATCGCGCAGGCCCATCTCCAGCTCCTTGCGAGAAGGCTCTGAAGCAGGGCGAGACACAACTCCTCAAAGCTTTTCTTCAACGACAAGGTCTAGAACGAAAATTGTGGATATGTTCTGGACCTCTCAATTGAGATTTGTGTCGGCATGCTTGTTCCAGGACAAACATGTTAAGGAACGGCCAGTTCCAAAATCTTGTGAATGCCCTTTAGTCCTGATCACTTTGTAATTTGCTTTGCCCGGCCCACTCTCGCCGCCGCTGCTACATTCCGCAAAGTACTTTTGTTGATTTGCTGCTACTTCTCGCACCCCTGGAGGAATGTGGCACGAGGTAAATTGTCTCGATGGCAGCAGAACTTCTATGGCTGGAGGGCACGACTATCATTCATGGTTGATGCAAGGGTGTCTGTGCAACAAAGACAGAACGGCATCCTTTGCCATCAGCTCAACCAGCTGCCATGCCTGGGACAGTGGAACTTGACAGGAAAGGCTGCTCTGCAGACTCTGCCTGCGCCAGGGTAACGTCCAGGTCCGACATGGAACGAAGCCTGCTGACCAAACCCTCGCACTCACCTGCCAAACGGACTGATGTATGCAAAGATGCAAAGATGGAATGCAGCATCTGTTAAACTGCCTCGCACTATGCTGTCCTTTCCGGAGGTGCATAGACTCTCGAAGTTCCTGACAGATGGCTCAAGCCTTGACAGAAATGGCTGCTGGAGGGTACAAGGGCCTATGGCTCTTGCGAGCTTCTGTAAGTTGGTAAATGGCTCCGTCCATGTCCTGCAGGCTTTAGCAAGGAGACGCAGCAATCCGGAAGCACTTCTGACCTGCTGCCCCATCATGGCCAGCGCCATGTAGATGCGAGCACACCCTTTCACAGAGCCTGAGAGCCGTCTAGCAGATCCAAGAGAAGGTATATGAGTCATGGTCTAAACTCCTAGCGTCCCCGTGCTAACCCGTATAGCTATAGTAGATCCCACATGTCACCCCCGTGTAGCACGGTCTCCGGCGAGGCAGAGCCACGGTACCGCAGCGCTGTTGCAACGCACGCTGGAAGAGCAAGATGGCCTGATCGCAGTCCGAATTGGTTGAATAGGGAAGGATGGGCCATGGCTTTGACCTCCTGCAGGTCACCCACCAAGAGTTTGCAGTAGCCCAAGCGGACCAAAGCGAGCGCCTCTGACTTGCAGCTTTAAACTCCCAGCTGGGATCGATCCACCTGTAAGTGCACCACATGATTTTTTTCCACCGCCAGAGCCTTTCGGTAGGAAGTCTCAGCCTGCATTGTCAGCAGCAGTCAACATTTCACGGGGCCGACAAGGCTGACGAGTTAGACCTGCTCGAGCTCCTTCATTTGTACATGAATGAGGCCCTGCGTGATGAGAGACGAGACCTCAAAGGCAGTAGGGCAGAGGAAGACCCGGGGGGGGGGCTGATGTACCAAGGTCGCACGTGTGACGGCTCCTGCTTAAAGGCCAGAGAAAGCCTGAGACGTCGCAACAAGACGCATGATCCTTTTGCAAGAAAGCTTTTGCAGGTGCACTCTGCCAAGGCGTTGGTGTACTCTCCTTTTCTCTCGTAAGCCTCCCGAGATTCCCCAACTCAGGATTGGTCAATGGAAGCCATTTTGGCAAAGCGCAAGCTCCTGCCTGCGCCAGCCAATCGTGAATTTCAACTTTGAGGTTGTCACTGTCGGCAGCGCTAAGGTGAAGAAAGGCCTGGGCCGTCAATGACTGGCAAGGGTGCTGTTCAACAGTTAGCACGCTTGTTTTTGCAAGGCCTTCTTGAGAGTGGCGATGGAGGAGTCGAAGTCAGCCATTCGATTCTTTACCAGCGCCAGAATGAAGAGGAAATGTGGGTGGTTCCTGCAGGACTCTCTCCTCTGCTGAATGACTCACCGGCCCACAAGAAGAAGACGCTCTCAGCATCAAGCGGCTTCAGTGCAAGACCAAGCCGAGCTTGCTTCTCTGCCTGGTAAGGAACGAGCTCAAGCTTCCATTTCATTGTCCATTTCGTTTTCCATTCGCCATTCTTGGCAATCCGCAGGCCGGAGCCTGGGGCTTTTGGATCTGAGGGCCCCCCGAATCAGGGATGCGTTCCCGCACCGCTAACCCGCCTCCAAGGATGCACCACTCCGAAGGCCTGGGCACTCGGGGGGGTTCGAGTCGATTGGTGGCCCCTTCGCGCAGGTTCTGACCACGGCGATAAAGCTTCTTTCGTTCCCACTTGGCCATTTCCCAACTCCGGCATTCTTCTTCTGAGGCTTGCCTTGCCGAGCGCCTCGCTGCTAAGGCGGCACTCGCGCTAGAGATTCAAGCATCTAGGCTTCCTCATCCTGTAATGATCCACCCTGCTTATGCGAACAAGACGTCTTCCAACTGAACGCAACATATGTATCGCATATCGCTTTGTCGTGAGAGGCATGCTTGTCAGTGGGTGCTCGTGCAAAGTGTTGTCGGAGTTGTCTTTGGTGCGGGGCATAACTGGCATAACTCTTGACGGTGTCCTGGCCGTAAAATGTTAGCAAGACAAGGCTTGCGGCCACATCGCCAAAGGCACCAAAATCAGCTTAGCACCTGCTCGGCTCTTTGCATAGCAGAGCTTATCTTTCTGAGGAGAATCACAGCAAAGCCGAAAAGTTTGACATCCTAATGTGCTCGGCATCCCCTGGCGCAAAGCCATAAAGCAGTCTCCCTTACATGCATTTTCGAGCAAAGCCCACAACTGCACTGCCAGCCCCTTTTTCAGATTCCACAAGGTACAGTCATGACTCGCGAAGACTTTGAGTCCACGGTGCCACGGAGTATTGGCAGCTAAGCCAACACCGCAGTTTACGCTCCAAGTTTGCTAGCACCCTCGGTGTGTCCGTAAGAGAGCACGACCGTGCCAACGGTTGATGTCCCGGTAAGTGGAAAATGACGCTTGCGTGTCACGTTGCGCCTTTCCCCAGCATCATCATCTGGTGGTTTGCGGCAGTAGCCTAATCTAACTTCCATCAAGGTGGGATTTTGCCCATGTCCAAGTGAAGCTGCAAATCTGCAGCGACCAATGAACTTGGTCCCGGAGATCCGCATGTAAAGTGCAAGTTTTGACCCCATGTTGTTTGACAAAACGCCAGAGGTTCCTGCCAGTAACTGGGGAATCACAGGCAAAGCCTACATCCCCTTTCGTGTCGGCCAGAAGTTCCGCCATCACTGTGAGCTCAGCCCTTGGCACAACCTGTTTGGGCCCCTCCAATCCCCGACCGGCGTTCACAGACACTGTCAGCAACCTTTCTTGCAAAGGGCCACAACGGCCAGTCAAACAACATCATCAGTACCTCCCAAGCAAATGCCTGTCTCCGTATTCTCCATGAGTCCCTGCTCTAGATTGATGCAAAATCCAAGGCGAAAGCACGATTGGTCGAAGCCAATAATGCTCCTGTTCTGATGTTCCCATTTGTGACTACCACTCCTCTAGGGCCTTGCCACACATTTTCTCAAGCTTAGGGCACCACCACAGCAAGTGCATTATGCGGGGATGATTGCGGGAGAAAACGGGCAGCTGTCAAGAAAATGAAAGCTGGATCCAGCCTCCTCGTACTCATCAAGTGACACATACGACTTCGCCAGAAGGTACCTACGGCAAACTTTACAGAGGCTGTGATGGTCTTTGCGTGCCTTAGCTCAGCATAGACTTCAGACTTGAATGGGGTCAGGCACAGGGCTCCAGTCTTGTAGTCGGTTGTGCAGTTGGTATCCACCAACCTGACTTGACAGCAGAGTCGAACCGTATCTCCGTCGACTCCACTGTAAACTTGCCTTGACAAGTAGAACTGGCACTCCGCATGGCGATGCTGCCGATAAAGAATGTCACCTAGCTGGTTTTCAAACCCGATCTTTGCCATTGAGAGGATTTTAGGAGCCGCGCCAAGGTAGTAGAGTGGACCCTCAGCAGTAGCACTCACCTGCATGCTGCGCTAGTCTGCATCCGATTCATGCTCTTTCTGAACGGCCAAGGGGCCCGGAAGCTTGCACCCAGCCTTCAAGCACTGCTGATAGAAGTGAACAGCCTGTCCACACCGATGCACACGCGCACGAGCCAGGACACACGTGCGACACGTAAGGAAGATGCAGAGATGGCCCCAGCGTGGGCCTGATCAGTTTGATTTCCCTTTCGGGCGCAGTATGCCGCTCCTTCCAGCGCCTGCAGCATCCGCTTGAAATCAAGTGACCATGGCCCCCGCAAGTCATCAAGTAATCCTGCCTCTAAGTTCGAAGGATTTATGTTCAGCACCTGCAACATGATGTTGCTGTCTGGACAAGCCTGCAGTTCCTGCGCCACACCTGCTCGTACAGTTTCTTTGCTTCTTCCAGGTTGCTCTCACGAGCATCCTGCAGGGATCTGCAGGGCATTCCACAGCAGGCATGTCATCGGTGAGACGAGTTGCTTTGCAGCGCCTGTCTGTGGCAGTGCGCTAGCTTGAGCAATGCTGTCAGGTTGGTGGGCTCGAGCTTTATGACCTGTTGGCATCTTTTGGTTTCTTGCTCATCAACTGGGTCGCAGGAATCTGGCACGTAAATCGGCCTGGCTCAGCTGCTCTCGGGCTTCTCGCACTCGATCTTCGGAAAGCAGAAGAGATGCATACCTTGCATCAGGTCTTAAGGCTTCTTGAAGGGCTGCACCTTTGAAGTGAGAAGAGCACGAAGTCTGCGTGGCTGGTGTTGAAGCGCCCAGCTGCACCTCTTTAAGCCATTGCATTCTGCATGCTTTAAAGACTTACGTATCCCTGATCATCTGCGACAGTTCTTGTGAAGATTTCCCCGACTCCACGAGTCTGAGTCCCGCACAAGCCGCCGGTGGCACAGGTGTTGGCCCTTGGAGTCCTTGAGCTGCTCGTGAATGGATAGCAGCCGTCGCCAGATCTGCAACTTCAACGGCATGCAACGGCAATGTGGGCAGCTCTTTGCGACATGTGACATATTGTGACATGGGCTTGCCATGGCTTGCCTCGGCATCATCTGGAAGCTCACGCACGGCACTTTCCAAAGTTTGCTGCGCATCCTTGGAAGACTTTCTTCGGGCAAAGCTCTGTTGCAACATGCGCACTCAGCAGCCTTCCAGGCACTTATTGCGGTCTGCACAGTCGCCATCTGCATCAGACAACACAGAGCGCTTCTTAACATGCAAAAATTGCCCGAGGTGATGCCTGCAAATAAATGCTTCGCGAATCAACCGTGCTCGGCCTGCACCTCAACGTGCTTGCAATTGGACGCACTTACCATCGGTTGCAATATCCTATGTCTTACGTTCAGTGCTAAGATTCACACTGCAGAGCTGTGCGGAAGTAATGGACAGCCTGGAAGTCTTCAGCCCAAACACGGTCCCGAACGCTCCAGCAGCCTTGCCTGGCTTGCTCCGCTTGGCCCCCTTTCCGCGTGGATGTGAGCCAGACCTTGAGTGATCCCAGCACAGCTCTCTCGGGGCTCGTTCGCAAGAGGCAGCCACACCGCCAAACCCCCGCCCTGCTCACAGACAGAAACACCTCGTTCAAAGTACTGGGGAGCATTTCGATTAAGACTTTCAGCATTGTGTAAGCACCTGCCATTAGAACGCTTCCCTTCCAGATCAACAAGCAAAGAGATGAGAAGTCTCTGCCCTTTCCCCTACATACCGCTGCTTCCTCCGCGCATGTTGACATACAAGGAAGTGGGATGCGAGCCATCGAAAAAAACTCCTGATACGATCCAAACTATAGCTGCTCTTGCGCGTCGGTCTCTTGGATTTCGGCAGCAATTACCCGCATTGCTTGCTGATATCTTCCACTATCCAAACAAGAATTTCTTGGCATTTCTGGTTTGTGTGCCTAACTTGGTAGGCTTCTTGTCCATCATCTGCTTGAGGGTTACCGCTCATGGTTTCCAAGCCACGCTTTTTAGGACACAAGGGAACTAGAATCTAGACATGGTCCCTGTTCCACAAATGGCTGTGCTGTATTGCTTCCGGCGTTGTTTCCATCTTTGCACAAAAGCATTAAAAGCTGCCTGCCCTCCTGGGCTCCCAGAGGATACTAGATTTGCGAGAGGCTGGGTTCGAGGTTGTCAAGGTTTCTGGAGTTCACTGCCATAAAGGATGCAGGCCAAGACTGTACCTACAGCTTTACCAACTGTAGAGTTGGGAATGCAGCTAGGCAGCTAGGCTTCTCTGGCTTTTGGGCTTTTCTGCTGCTTACCGCGCGAAAACACAGTCTCGTTTCTCACAGCCCGCAAATAATCGAATACGGTTGAATAATGGTCTAAGTGTCCTCACTCCGTCACCTGCGTAGCTTGACTAACTCCTCTGCCGGAACCGGACTCATCTATGGCGCTTCACAATCCTTGCTTCCTCAACTGCAATGGGACTTCTAAATCGCTGAGATGCCTGAAATGAACTCAGAACATTCCAAGATAAATTTGCAGTCCAGCAGCTCAAAGTGCACTCATAGTCACCAGGTCTCACTTCCAGCACCCGCTTGTAGTAGGCAATTGCCTCCTGCGAGCACGTATCTCCAGGTTGGGTTTGTGGCGAAGCTGCGGTAAATGTTGGACTAGATGTCATTATGAAGGACAAGGACAATTCGGCAAGCCTGATCTCTGCCGGCTTTACGGTAAAGAGATGCCTCGCGCAGCAGACAGCCTGTCGTTCTTCGAGCCCTGGACATGGGATGCTCAGTCCATGACCAGGGCAACCATGGATGGGACATCCAGGGCATTTGGCTGTAAGACCGCTGCCTCGCAGACGGGAACAGTCTGAACATTCGCAACACTGACATGCCGTCCACCAATTTCACCAAGAGCCATCCGGAAAGGGTGTTATCCAGCCTGCTCAAAGGACCGAGACGCCTCATCTGCCCTGCCGGCAGCACTGATATGTCAGAAGCTGTATGAACCATGACTTCTGCCTGCCTTCCCAGCTTGAGGCTGGCATAGCCCAGGCACAGGTATGCTGCCACATCCCTCGGTGCGAGCTTGGTTGCCTGGACGACACGACTTGTTGCGCGAAAGGAGCAAGTGAGGCAGCTCGTGCCGTGAGCCTGTGCAGCCAGGCGATAGGCTTCCTGAACATCCTCAGCCTCGTGCAGGACGCGCATGGAAGTAATCATCTAGCAGCCCCTGAAGCTTTGATTCAACGTGGCCTCGAGGAGCATCTCAGCTAGCCTCCTGTGCCCTTCGGCGCTGCTGGGATGACTTGAGACCACCTCCACCATTCAAAAGCGCTCACTTTGCAATCTAAGCCTGGCAAAACGAGTAGCAGTGGTTTTGGAGGCACTTTTACTTTTTGATAAAATCCCAACGACAGCGTTCCAGCACGCGACCTCCTCGTACAGCTGGCGTGCCTCGGGGATCAGCAGCTTCTGAAAGTGGTCAAAGAAGCTTGTGGCAGCCTGCCTGAGCCTTATCTTTCCCTGACAGCACACGGGCCAAGCCCAGCATGGCTGCCTCATCCTTCACCTCTGCAGGGCCCATGATGCTCTGAAGAACGTCAAATCTGAAAGCATTCCTGCCTTGCAACTTAAAGCTGTTGAATAATGCTTTTCGGCCAGCGACAACGCACGCTCCGCCTGTCTATGCGCAAACTGGAGATCAGCCTCTGAAACAGTCATTGCACAGCACTTGAGACGGAATGGCCTCTGCAAGCTTTCCGAGGTAAGCATGTAGCTCGTAACCAAGGGTAAATCCAGAGGCCTGGCATCAAAGAGCATAGTCCTGCCACCTGTAAGAGGCTACAACAGAAGCACGCGGTTCACAGCCTCATCGCCATATTCGGTGGCCTGGCGCGCATACCTCAGAACAACGGCGAGGAAGCGACCGTCACTGACCATGCCATTTCCGCTTGCGGCACTCGCGAATTTCTGCCGCATCTCCATCTAAGGACCTTGACATTTCTGAGCTCCGGAGCATGACAAATCATAGGGTTGAGCTCCGCGCAGCGAAGCTCTTGCCGCACAGCGCAAGGCAACAGCCTGGACATGATGCTTTTATTGGAGACTGCGTATGCAAAGTCCATTAAGGTCGCAGCATCTTCGGGCTTTCGGCGAAGGATTGCTCTTGCGCTCGCTAAGACCTCCCACAACAAAGTGACGAATGCTCACGAAGGATGGCCATCTATGCTTTGACCTCTCTCCACTGCTGTTCCGCAGAGCCGGTCAAGCCTGCAGGCAGTACAGTTACCCTTGAAGCCGTACGACAGTCAACGGAAGCAGCCGTCTACAGAATGATATGTGTCGATAGACTCCTGCATGGAACCTATCCTTTTTCCACTAGGCCCTTATCGACAACACTCAGGACCCAGGCCACTCAGGCAAGGTGCATGTAGGTGGACCCGTCTCGACTTTCGGATCCCAAGTTATGGTAACTCCCTATGACGGACAGGACCCCATCAAAAGCGGATAGGAGTCTCCCACCACAAAGATGGCACTATGTTCGTGGATATCAGATAGACCCTATCCGAAAACCTGTAAGTAGAATTTCAATGTTGGTATGTACTCCTAGTCTCTTCAAGAAAATGCCTGTCATCTTATAGACGTGAATGTCTTGCAGCGGCCACAATGTTCGAAATAATTACTTTGTTCATGTTCGTCTATGCCAATCTGGATGTGGATCCTATTTGGTAGAACTGTCGGGGGCAGCTTCTGGGGTCTACATGCAATGGACCTTTACGTAGAATGTGAGCACTCCCTTTTATAGGTGAAACCTGCAATATTTCCCTAGGGAAATCTATCATGTTTTATTTCAAACAAACGACGTTGGCAGATGCCAAGCAGACTCCACAGAAATGAGAGGGCTCATACCAATAGTTTAATGGAAATGCGAGCTCCCATTAAGAAGACCTCCATAGATAGCCTCATAGGAATGACAGGAAATCGCTTTGGAATCTGATAGGGATGAGAGGATTCCGTTTGAACATCTGATAAGCATGACAGGACTTTTATTCCGAATCTAACGGAAATGAAAGGACTTCTATTAAGAATCTCATAGGAATGAGAGGACCTCCATGAAGCACCCAATATGAGTGAAAGAGCCGAATCAGATAAGACTGAGAGGCCTCCAACTACGAATTTTATGGGAATAAGGGTTCTATTCGGAATCCAACAGGAATGAGAGGACTCCTGTCAAAAATTGTTGAGGAATGAGAGGACTGCTGCCAAAAATCATGGAGGAAGAGAGAACTTCTATCAAGATCTCATGGGACTGAAAGAACTCCTATTCAGAACTCCTGCTAGAATCTAATTGGGAGAAGCAAATAGGAATGAGAGGACTCTTATTTAGAATCCAAGCGAAATCAGAGGATTCCTATCAAGATCTATCAAGAATCTGGTAAGACTACGAAAGTCACCGTTAACAATCGAATGGGAATGAGTGGACCCCTACCACGAATCTAATGTGAGTGAGAGGACTTCTATTAAGAACTTCGTGAGAAGGAGACTTCTGCTGTGAAGACTCTAATGGGCTTGAGAGTGCTTTTACTTAAATCAAAAATAGGAGAGGACTCCGCTTAAGAGTTTGATGGGAATGAGCGGAGTCCCATTGAGAATCTGATCGGAGTGAATTCCTATAAAGAGTCTGGTAAAAATGAGTGGACTTCTATTCAGCACTTTTTAGGAGTAAGGGGCATTCTCCCGAAGACTGTAAAAGGAACTAGAGGACTCCTACTTTTAATCTGACCGGAATGACAGGACTTATATAGAGAGTTTGACAGGAATGAGAGGAATGTAAGGGGAATGGAAATACATGAAAATACGCTTATTCAAATCTGATAGGAATAAGAAGTCGTACTCCAAATATCATAAGAATCGCCTCTCACGAATCTGTACGAAACCAATGGATTGTAATGGGAATGAGGGGACTCTAATGAGGGGACTCTCTCTTAAGAAGTTAATAGGAATAAGAGGACATATACTGAAATCTAGGAATGAGAAGACTCCTATTGAGAATCTAGCAAGAATCAAAGCTCCTATTGAGGAGCCCTATTAAGAATGTCATAAGAATTGCTCTGGTGAGCAACATTAGGACATTAGGTGCACTTCTGCTCAGGCCAGTGCGCAGAGTTTCTGCAAACTTGATGCGACCACATGTAACCTGCCTGTTGCTCGCTCAGCGCGGCGAAGCTGTCT